ACTAGCTACAAAGCAAGGGCTAGGATTATACAATAATAATAATAACAACAATTGGAAGTACCACCACTTCCTAAACTTTCCCATGGAGAGGGATGATAGACACGTTGTGGACTTTGGAGATCATAGCAGAGAAGGTTATAGTCGAAACTGCATTATTTACAGAGGAAATATTTTCTTACACACTCAGTATCAGGACTTGAATCATTACCCATTCTTGCAAAACCACTGTGGCTGGTGGTTAAACCAGGGATATAGTACATAACATATCTAGAAAGGAATTTTTGAGAACGAGGCTTTGCTTTCCTACCTGAAGGTTATATCTCTGATTTAACAGTACAAATTTGGAGTAAAGCAAAGCCATCAAATTAAAGTGAGTTAAAATTAATCAATAAATCAATCAGCATGTGAGAGCCAGACTACCAAACCCAGATCAGGAACTGAGGGGAAGATATAGAGCCATGGTTCAGGTGCATAGACAGGACAAGGTAGAGCCTCAACTGGGATAAGAGGATCTCTGGTATCCCATGCTAGTAGTTTTGCCAATCTGACCCTGTCTCCCAGTGGAAACCTTAGCCATGTGGCTACCTGCTTTCTTGATGGGCTCCAACAGAAGTATATTTTAAAAGGATGGCCAAGATAGAGCTGTACTAGAACCCTGGCAATGTTTATATTCCAACATAAAACATATATTGGGTTCAGAGTCACATTGTAATTTACATGGGACCTAGACATGTTTGCCTTCCTGGGCTCCTTCCTCCATAAACAAACATTAAAATTATAGTTTATAGTCACATTGGTTTAAAGAATATATTAACATCATATGTTAAAACATTTTCTTTCACCTAAACACTTTTTTTTTCCTTCTGATTTTAAAAAGAGTTTAAAAAAAAGAATTAAAATATTTTCACAGGCTCTGAAAAATATCATGGGCTCTTGGCACAGCACCTACTGTACCTAATGGGTGTCAACCTTGATTATTACTGCTTGATTCCTCTTCTTCTGGAATTTTCCCTAAGCTAATAGATTTTGTCCCTTCCACAGAGCCAATCAAATAATACATTCTTTTGACATACAGTAAAACCTTGGATTGTGAGTGACTTGGTTTGCATGTGTTCCGCAAGACAAGCAAACATTTCTAATGCATTTTAACATGGTAAACCAGAGATGTCTTGCAATACGAGTAGTTTGTCTCTGGAATGAATTATGCTCGCAAACCAAGGTATTACTGTATTTAGAACTGGGATTGGTATGTTCTTGCATTAGGGTTTGGGAAGAGATGGGCAGCTATGGCAGGAAAGTGACTGCACTTAATGAGTTTGCTTCATAAGTGGTGAGCAAAATTTATGCACAGAAATTGATTCAAGACAAATCTGAATTACTTAATTTGTGGATAGTATTTAAATGTGATTCCCTCCCTATATGCAAGACTTTAAATATCTTTCCTGATGACGACAATTATGGATTATTATTATTACAATATGGAAATATTCTAGGTTATTGAGGTCAACATTTTTTATAAAGACCTCTAATCCTGTAAACCTCAGTTAAAGTTGTTCGGTTCATACCCTACCTGGTAAAATTAATTGTCAGGGCAGTAAATGAGTGCTTACTAATGTCTTCCATGTGAGTTGAAGAGAGGCACAAGGAATACGACTGGCATTGACCCCCCCTCCCCACTACAAAAGTGGTGGTCCCCTGCCTGGGGTTGCAATTAGGATTATCTTTGCTCCAGGCCCTTATCTTGTACCACAGACTCTTCTTAAATGGAAAACTCAGCTATCTGGAGGCTGACAGCAAGCTAACTCATACTTGAAATTCATTGTCTATCCCTGGGTAATTCCTTGATTAGATAATTAAGTGCCAGCTGTTTTTGACCTGAGTTTCCTTACAAATTTATTATTTCCTTATAATCCTTCAGAGTATTATTTGGTATCAGCTTGGTAGGTTAGATTTGCTAGTGTTTCTGAGGTTTACATTTGGGAGCTGGTGCATTGGTTTGTTTGCTTGTTTTTATAGAGTTCTTCTCTGACACAAATAAATGCATGTACCCAACAAATCAGGAATGGGAATGGACATGGGGTGGGAAGGGGTCTAATATTTATTAATCCATTTGTAAGGCATTTTACAATACAATATTTGACTTCATTCCCACAATACTTCTACAAGGCCGTGACCCCTACCTATGTCACTAGTGAGAAGCTTGAGGCTATCTCAGTTTAAGAAGGAAAAGAGCATAGGCGCTAAGCCAAACTGTTCAGATTTAAATGTAGGCTCTGTCACTGACGAGCCGTGTACCTTATTTCCTCAACTTCCCCCATCACTCACTCCTTCCAGCCACAGCGGCATCCTCGCTGCTCGTGACTCCTCTTGACTCTTTGTACTTTCTGTTCTCTCCTTCTGGAGCAAAGTCTGCGCAGATTTACCCCCTTTTAACCACCTTTCTGTTTTTGTTCAGATGTCATGTAGTCATCCGTAAATATTTAGTGAGCACGACTATGAGGTGAGCACTGTTCTAGGAACTTCAAAGAAGTCAAGAAATAAACAGACAAATGTTCCTGCCCTGATGAAGCTTATATTCTAGCAGTGTGGAAGAAACAGTGGTTGATTAGAAAACCAGTCAATTATATTATATTATTAGAAGGGAATACACGCAATGGAAAAAAGAGACTGAGGCACATTCAGTATTAAATCAGGCAATAATAGTAAGTAAAACTCATCAAGATGTCAACAAAGATTGACTATGAGGTATGAGGGAAAACATCCCAAGGATAAAGACTCCACATTTTGAGGCCAGACTACGGGAATTATGGAATTGTCAACAATTTCTCTTGGTCCTACAGTTTTTCCAGGCCCCTGAAACCTTCTCAACCAGGCCAACTGGCCTCTGAGCTTTTCTGAAGAGGAAGCCCTGATATCCTTTTATCTAAGGTCACAAGGCCTTAAACCATGAGTAACAGAAATGAGCTCATGTGTGGCTTGATGCCCTCCCACTCAGGAAAATTAACGAAGCGATGAAAAAGATCTTGCTTCAGTAATTTGTATATGATCAGAGCCTAACCACAATCCAGCAGCTAAGGTAATGTTGTTGCCTGTAATAGGCGAGCAGTAAGGCCCCTTCACGATTACACGTCCATTTAATGTGAGCGGTCTAATGCTGCTATGAGGGTCTCCTTTTTATGTAGGTGTACTTGTGAGTGAAGAAAGAGCAAGCAAGCAAAAGTTAAATAGGCTGTGGCACTACAGTTATTCCTGAGGTCGTTTGTTGGTAAGAATTAAATTACAGTCCTCCTTGAAAACATGAGTTAATGATTTTGTAGTAATTTGTCCCTAAAAGAATGTGGAGACCTAACATCCAGTGTCTGCTACTAATTTGGGCTAAAAATAAATTTTGAATGTTTAATCCACTATACTTATATTGCATTAAGTGTTGCATGAAGAGTTTCATTCCACTGTGCTAGAACCAGAGATACCATGAAAGGCATTATGAAGCAGGGGAACAGTATGAAAATTACTCAGCATAGTTAGCTTATCTTTCATGTTAGTTAGTTCCTTCAAAACTAATTTTTGGTGTGCGTTGTTCTTCAGTAGCTAACCACAATAGAAATAGCAAAAGACTCACTACTTTCCCCCTTGACACTGATTGATTCCTGTAACACTATTCTGAATTAGTGTCATACAAATGCTATTGTATAATGTTCCTCTCTCTTATCATCCTGCCCTCTTCAACTTCTCACTTGCCTTCATAATTACCCTTCCCTGGCCTAATCAACAAATCTAGAAATCAGTTATCATTTTATATATGATTCCAAATATTGGAATATACTTTTCATTGATTTGTCAGGCATCAGATAAATTGAGTTCATTAGGTGTTACAATTTTATCTATATCAAGCCAAAGAACAGGTGGGGGTGGGGTTTTTTCATTGACTTAATCAGATATTTAAGATTGTGTGAGGAATTGCCTGGAAGCTCCTATTGGTCCTTTTCTTTCCAGAGATTTACTTAATTTCAGTCTATCTGCCACTCTGAAGGTGGCAAAATTTTCTTATTCCTCCAAATTTCCAAAGGAAGTTTCTGAAGATATTTGGTTAGAAGAATGTCCTACCTCATTTGTGATACCCAACATTTTGTCCACACATTTATTGTAGTCTCCATGATGCAATTTGAAGTAAGGACTGAGTATTTCATATTGATATCACTCTTGCTTCTAGTAGTGTAAGTCACATAGAAGGAATGCAAAAAATGGTCGTTAAAATAATTCAGTAGCCTTAAGAATTATATCCAGATAGTCCATGAGTTTCACATTGGTCTCCATCTCTGGTGTATATTCAGGAAAGAAAAAAAACCAATGCCATGCGCACTCATGAAATTAAGATTAAGTAGTGAGAGAAGACTGATCCTTGGTCAGCAATTTGACTGGTATCCTAATACTCTCTCTTTGAAGATCACTATGTTTTCTCAGTTTTAGAGAGCTCAGTGCCGTTTATTTCAGACAGCCATATATATCAACTGGCATTTAATTCCATTTCAGGGAAAATATTAACAAATGATTTTAAATAAGTGTGTGGTATTCGGTAGAGGTAGAACAAAGACATAACAGAAGGGTGTTACATATGGTAACAAGTAATTTAAGACTACATGACTTTAACAAGGTCATCCCCTACAAAAATTGTACAATCACAAAGACTGTTTATAGTGCCCCTCCATGGTCTCTCAGGCTTCGCACTTCAAGCATTTTTAAGGCCCCGAAAATTTTCCTCTAGATTTTCTGAAACTATAGTTTTCCAATACCCAACTGCTTACAATCCTTCAAAACAGACAACCTCAGAGTTGATTGAGTATTTGGTCCTATTCTGTTTCTTGGTGTAATGAAATAAAATACTAAGTAGGTTTTTTTGTTGTTTTTTTTGTTTTTGTTTTTGTTTTTTTAAGGGTAAAGCTTAGAAACTAAAGCAAAACAGTAAAGAGTAAACAAATGTATCTTCTTTCTTCCAATTTCAGATTTTCTGGTGACTGTACCTGAAGATCATTTATCATGATTTGGGGGGAAAATTAAACAAAGCCAAACTTAATTTAAAAGGCTACTTTCAATACATTTAATAAAAATAAAAAATAAAATGCCACACAAGTAAGCCAAAGGGGAGAAACAAAATTTTGTTAAGTCATCCCAGTTGATCAGTGATTGTTCAGCATTACAAACAAATTATTAAACCCACAAATAAGCTAGCTTAGATAAGGCCATTTCCATGCTCTGTGGCATGAAATGTCAACCATTTTTCGCTGAGCTGTAATCAACAGTAGATAAGTCACTCCAGCTGCATACATCTGGCCCAGGGCATTTATTTTCATAATCTAATCAGTCAGATTCTGACAGATTCCCAAAGGCTATGGGGTAAGGGAGACCTAGAAAGTTGGGTAAGAAAGGCTATTTGCATGTTGTTGTTATTGTTTAATTGGCATGGTATGGTAAATCTTCTAATATACTAAGCCATAATTTTAGGTAACAGCTTTTTAGCATACTTCTTCCTAACATAGATCTGCAGGTTTTCTTTACTTCTGCAAAGAACATCACCCATAATTCTAGTTAAAAGCTTTTTTAGGGGGCTGGCCGAGTGGCTCAGTTGGTTAAGAGCTGGCTTGGGATGCCAGAGGACCCTGGTTCGGATCCCTCATATGAGGGCCAGTGACACTGCCCTCCACAGCTAAGATGCTGAACAACAGCTCAACCTGGAGCTGGGCTGCCATGAGTCGCCAGCGATGGCGTAGG